AACCAGGAAAATCAGATGAAGAAGACATTAGGCCACCATATTAAATGCATCATACTTAAACTGGGCATAGAACAACACTTGTAGTGTAGGAAATATAGTTAAGATTATGATTTTCGATTTCCTAGTTACATCTGATTATGTGCCATCAAATAGTTATGGAACCTTTGCAACCACGCAGATAGATATGTTCCAAAGAGATCCTTCTGGCCCTTCAAATCCTCCAAAGGTCAACCTATTGTTCATCTGCCTTGCTGATAGATATCCTCTTTTCTTTTGTTTTACCTTTAACAGCATTATAGACTTTTCTAGAGAAAAGCTTCCCACAATAGGTCTAAAGTTTGATTATTTGAGCCTGGTCCCTTGCATCTTGAGGGATAATTGTGGGTTGATTTTTGATGATCCATTTGTCTGTTTTCTTGACTATCTACAGCAGGGGTGTCAAACTGGCAGCCCACAGGCCAGATGCATCACGCACAGGCCACGCCCACCCGGGCTCCGCAAAGGCAAAAAACATCATGATGTATCACGTGATGTCAAATCAAGCTTGACACACGTGATCTACAGTATTCTCAAAAATCTTCTCCAAAGTTCAAAACCATGAATACTCCAAAATTGAAAACCATGAATATTCTTCCTATCCTGTTTCTTCAACGTCCAACTTTCCCTTCCATACAGTACCACATGTAAAACCACTACTTGTATGATTCTGATTCTTGTAGTAGGCATACATCTGCCAGTATCTTGATATCTTTTTCAAGGCCTTCATTGATACACTACTAATCTGTTTGGGCAATTTGAAATTGAACTGTGATCATAAAACTCACCAACCTCCTTCTCCTCTACAGGAGTGGTTGGAGCATAAACTTTAAAACTGTCATACTAAAGGGTTTTTCATAAAGTCTAATTGATAGTACTAAGTCGCTAATTGAACTGTAGCCATGCTATAGCTTTCCTAACTATGAAAGCAATGTTCTTCCTTATTTCTCTTGTCTTGAGTACTAAATAGCATCATGCTCTGGCTGAAAGTATTCAATTCCAATCCATTTCCATTTGCTGATGCCTAAGATGTCAATTTGTAATCATTATATTTTATCTTTCACTGTGTTGATTTTCCTGGGTTCATGTTTTTTACATTTCATATTCCCACTGCAATTCTATTTTTGCAGCTTTGGGGTTTTTTGGTCTGCATGGCAACATCAGCAACTAGACATCCTGAAGGCTTTAATCTAACCATGTCATAAACACCACCGAGCTCTTCTTCAATAGCATGTCTGGCCTTAGGGGCTCATCATCTGGTGCTGTATCATCAATCACTTTATCTTATGCATCATGTGCATATATGGAGGAGGGAGTTTTGGTAAAACACAGGAGTCATTTACCAGTGCCTTTTCCTGCACAGCCTTTGCCACTGTCGCTAAAGGGATCGTCAGCATCTTCCTATATTACTGCTGCCCAATATAGCTGCCTACATGCTTTAACTGGGCAGCTGGAATGACCTTCATGCTCTGATTATATACTCTTGGTCTCTATTCGTAACATGCTTTGCTCATTCATGGACTGACACCATAGAGCAGTGCAGCAGGATAGGCAGAGTGTGGGGTGAATCAGCAATTTGGAACCTCTGCAAAATTAAGGCATCGATATTGCCTTCTGAGAAAAAGTTGTCAACATAATAATCAAATATTCAATTTATATTTACGAGATGCAATATTTAATTTTCTACCACCTAAGAAAAGCAATCAAATATCATACTGGCAGAAACAAGTATGAAAGACCAAATGAAATGGGAATCAATAGGATTAAGGAATAGAAATTCTTTTGCCTTGCTACAGGGTAATAGTCCATATTTATTTAATATACTGTTCAACTAATCAGAAGTTCTTCAGTGAGAGATCACATTCCCCACTGAATAAGCCTAGTTCAAAGATCAGAAGTTATGTTCTGACATACTCATCTCTTTTTGTCAAAGGCCAACTTTTCCAAGTGAAAGAAGAACTAACCTGAGGGAGTGAGGCAAAAGTATTTTTTAGAGAAATTATTTCTCCTTTTCTTCAAGAATGAGAAGTTATCTGTCTCTGAAAAGAAGTGTTATCAGCCTGGGCTATTTCTTCAGTGCTTGAAATCTCCACAGATGTATGCTACACAATAATGACACAGCTATAATGGCCTAAGAAATCTTTAATTAGTTGAGCTGCTTTATTCTTGGTTTTTGCACCCATAATCTTACATATTGTGTTTCTCCAACAATACGGCCTCCACCAATAGGAAGTCCCAGCATGTTTTATTGGCATAAAATCAAATTAAGCCCCTCCCCCCAAATTAAGGCCTATATTAAACAGGTGAAATGGGGGGAATGGTGGGGGGGGGGGCTTGCCGTTAGGAAGTACTTTTGTTGCATACCCGGATATGGTGCTGCCTGCATTGGTGGGGCACTTCGTATCAGGACACCTTCCGCCACTGTTGCTTTTCCTTCTCCCTTGCTGCCGCGTTTAGAGCAACACCGCAGCGTTTGGCGCAGCCATGTGCGGCCAGCCAGGGCTCCTCCCTGCAACCGGAGCCCTGCGGAGACACTTGGCTTCAGGTGCTCCTGGCGCCGCCATCCCTGCCTGGCGCCGGGCAGAGCACGAAGAGCTTTGCCTGGTGCGACCAGCACAGCTGACAGGCGGGCCCTCCTTCCTGGCGGCAGAGCTCTTGCCAAGGCAGCGAGCACCTCCCTGCTGGGCCCTCCACTCATCCCACCACCAGGGAAGCAGCGCTGCCATCACCTCGCCTCCCTGTCCACGGATGGGCGGGCGCTATCACTGCCTCGAGCAGCCTCTCCTGGTGGCCCCTTCAGGTTCACACCAGAGGGACTTGGGAAGGAAGCCAAGCTCAGGTCAGCCCGGCTCTTTTGCTTGGCAGGCGGGCACGCACCCGCGGCTCACTTTCCTGGCTCTGCCCAGCCTGCACGGCTCTGGAGTGGCCCTGGCGGGATGAGCGGGGGGTCTGGCGGGGCAGCGCTCACTGCCTTGGTGAGAGCTCTGCTGCCAGGAAGGAGGGCCCGCCTGTCAGCTGCGCTGGGCAACCCAGGCAAAACTCTTTGCACTCTGCCTAGTGCCAGGCAGGGATGGTGGCTGGGCGCTTCTCCCGAGGTGGGCCGATCCTGTTCTGTGGCCCCGGGAGATTCGCCTCCCCACGTGGGGTTGGGCTGCCCTCTCGGGCAGGGGAGGCTTTGTTGTAGTAGGGCGTCATTTTTAAAATAATTGGCTTTACCTTCGAAGGCAAAGGGAAGGCAGCGACAGGAGCGCCTGAAGCCGAGTGTCTCCGCCAGGCTCCGGTTGCAGGGAAGAGCCCTGGCTGGCCGCATGTGGCTGAGCCAAATGCCGCGGTGTTTCTCTAAATGCCACGGCAGCAAGGGAGAAAGGGAAGCAATGGTGACGGAAGGTGTCCCGATACAAAGTGCCCCACCAACTCTGAGGTCAACATCCAAGCTGTTGCCACCTGCCTACCCGAGGATGCAAGGGGGGGGAATTAAGTCACCCCCGAAAAGACGGCCTAGCCGTTTTTTCAGGGGTCAAAATAAAAATAAGGCCCGGCCTTATTTTGTGAGAAACACGGTAGTAATAAAAGTCTCTGGTGGTATTTCTCTCATTATCTTTCTCATTTCATCAAAATGAGAACCTGCATTTATACTTTCAGCTGAAATTGTGAAATTTATTTCTGGGTTCTTAAGTTCTCTCTCTGAATCACTTTTTCTGAGATTTTGTATTTTTCATCTTCAGCATCATAGTGTAGAATAAGAACAGTTACTAAGTTTTGCCATTTTATGCTTGCACATTCTCCAAAGCTCCTTAAAACCTAACATCCTGACTAGCACTGTTGTCACTGCCTAAAGCCATCATGAAACGCTGGCTGATAAAGTCATAAAAAGGACAAAGAAGTAATCATCTGCAAGAAGTCATCAATTCCCCCTGATAGCAGAAAAGAAAGGGAGCAAATCTGCAGGAAACGTGTCAATTCAAAGGTCATACCAGAGTACAAAAAAGCAGTATTTAAACTATTCCTTAGAAAGTCACAGCATTTTACTAAAGCTTGATTGCCTCATAATTCTGTTCTATTCAAGTCAAGTTTTCTTTATTGCCTAATACAAAAAAAAAATGAAGCATTTATTTCTAAAGAAATAATTACTGGAAATATGTATCCTAATAAAATCTTATTTGATCCAATTCTATAGTTTGTTGCACATGCTTATCATCACAAAATAGACAGGAAACTGTTGAAATTCAAACAAACCCATAGATGGAATTTCTCACTGAATTTGTACCAATTGCCACCAACAAAATAAGTTATCCTCTTCCCTACAATTTCTAACGCACATGGTTCCTGTCAATTTTCCAAATTCTAGTCATCCCTCTACAAATCTGAGGTATCAAATAGGTAGGCTTCAATGTAAAAAATTCTGCAGGAGATAGATAGGTCATCCGATCAGAATTCTGGGTGAAAGCCACACAACTGGGGGAAAGAATAAAATCTGACCTATGTCTATGAAGTAGTAAAAGATGGAGTTTATCCTCATCACAACTGTGAGATTAGGAACACCATTTCTCTTTTCCTGTACGGTTGAAAACCATTCATTAATATAAAACGACAATTGCATGAACAGCAGGACAATGTTGCTACTGAAGTTCACCTGTTTGATCCATTATATTCTACCAGGAAGAAAAACTCATAGTCAACATCACAGTTAAAGAATTGGCATTATGAATACTGTGTTTACCTGATGGGAATGTGCAAACCATCTATGCCTGTTCTTCTCCTTACTTGACAACTAAAAACTAATTCAAAATTTTATATCATATATATTTTTCCAAATAAATATGTAGTGTTAATAGTTCTTTACAATATATTTATATATGTGCATGATATATCCCTACCCACCCAATCTCAGTCACATCACATTATCTCCTCTTCTATATTCAGAATACCTAACACAAAACAGTTCAATTTTCTCCAATCCCTACCTTGTTTTGAATCCAGCCCTTCCAATTTGTTTTCTTCCTTCAAAGAAGAAGTAGAATCTATGCTATTGTCCTGCCTGAAAACAAGAACACATTTAAATTAGATTGCCTTTTATAATTATAAAATAAGCACTTCAAATATATCAAAACCTGCTTAGCACTCTATTTTATTGCTTGATTTATGTAATGACATAATCATAAATAATAGTAATACAATGGAGCATATACAGTATATTAACAATTTTCAGAAAAAAATTACATTAGTTTCCCTAGCCTGCTACTTTTCCTTTCAGATCTGATAGGGCAAATACTTTCACAATTCCAAGCCAGCATGTGAATTAGGAATTTATGGTCCCAATAAAACTGGAGGGAACCAAGCTGGATAAAGTTAAACTTGATGCAACGAATCTAAATAATTATTTTAGAGGTTTCTGAAGGAATAATATATTTTGATATTATTTGGGCATAAAAGGAAGACCTTATGTCATTGAAAGTGCACTCTATGACCAATAAAATAGCCAAATGTGAATGTCTGGTTCTTGGTTTTTTTTAATAAGTATGAAAAAGAAGGGAAAATGTGGCTTCCACTCAAAATCTTTATTTCAGATAACTGTTAAAAGAGAGGAAGTTTGCCTTTCTTTGCAACTACACAACCTAATGAGTCCAGGAACATAGTAAACTTATTTACTACTTCCAAGTATTGCCTGGTTGTCCATACTCCCTGCAAGGGATGACAATCAACAGTATTAAGTATCTTCTGCATAGCGTAATATGTGATATATTGATCAATGACCTCACCCCAAAGATATGTGCTACACTTATTACTGATTCTCTGAATGGGTTATGACCCTTTCTAAAAAAAAAACCCATCTCTGACTTCTTAATAAAATGCTTTCCCAGCTCCATCTTCCCAGAATGGCCTTTAGCATTTTAAGTCCTAAAGAAGTCTGACTGAAGAACTCAAAAGGACTAATAACCTACAAAACATCTGAAAACAATTACCTTTATGAATGGCAGGCCCACAAAGCCTCCAGCAGTGAATCTGTCTAGTGTTAGTACTTTCAGAAGCAGAATCTGAAAGTTAATTCTTTCTACATTAGACAGGATTAAAAGGTTTCCCAGCAAGCAGTTTTAGGATCAAACTAGGATGCCTCAAAATAAGCCCACTGTGTTGGATAAGAACTAAACGTAAAACCCACTTGAGGGTTTATCCTCAGAGAACTGCTGCATAAAGAACCAAATTCAAACCTTACATGCAGTGCTGCTCAGTGCTACATTTGCAATTGCTAACACCGTTGCTACCATCACAGTGATGATAAGGAATACATTTTAACAGTAATTTAGTTTTTATTCTCAAAACTGAAAAATGATTTCAGGAGAGGCAATTATACAACATGCAACAAAGAATAATAGCCTAGCTCAAAACTGTGGCAAGGACATCTCTTTAAAAGAGCCTTATCCATTTGACAGTTTATACAGAACTGAAAGAAAAACAACACATTTTCTGAAGCGTTGATGAGATGCCAACTTAAGAGATTTTTACATACTTTCACCTCAATGTGAAGATTTCTACTGTATAGTGAAGGGGAAACCGCTAAATGGAGGCACCTTATCTGTTGTTTAATTGTTTTTATACAAAGCAGTAACGGGAAAAAAAGACTATAAAACACACTTGAGAAAACAGGATACAGCTCTCCACAGGATTTTGAAATCAAGGCAGGTTAGTCCAGTTGCTGAGCTTAATGAGCATTTTAGTCATAAAATTATTTTATATTTATATAAGTAATTTCACATATGAATTACTTTGTCTAACAATTGCAAAGTACACATTATGTTAATATACATACACAATCAAAACAGTCAATGACACTGCAGGTCAGGGTTAAACAAAAAGAGCAGTCTTCTGCTCTTCAAATAATTTTATAATGGAATAATCTTGTACCATAATAATTCTGGCAATATTTTAGATGTCATAGGATTCATTGTTTGTAAAATAACAATATCATACCACAACACCATACCATTCATATTTAACCTGTGTCTACCTATTTTAATTATGCAAAACATCTACCTATTTTAATTATGTAACATACAGCTGGACATGCAAACAATTGTTAGAATTAAATTCAAATTTAAGTCCTTAAAATTGCAGTAACCTTCTAATACAAAGTTAAATACCAACTACTCAAAGTATATTACAACCAGACTAAAAATAGATTTTTCATACATGCTGGCAAACAGGAGAAGGGTACTTGGCAACGATACCCCTAGGTTTTTTTTATTTCCTCTTTTCTAACTGAAGATAGGATTGTTGGAAGAAAAATCCTTCCGGGTTCAGTTCCCAGTGGGGAAAAAGACACTGGAAACATGGAGGCTGTTTGGAAGGTTTAATGGTGGACAGGAGGACCACATGGCTTGGAGCTCCAGAGTGAAAAGGAAGGATGATCACATGCTTCAAGGTAAAGGAAGAGATCAAGAAAGGACTGATATGCTGAGAGTGCCTGGGTTTTATAACCTTCGTTGGGATTTGAATTGAAGCTTGTTTCTAATTGGTTGTAAGACTCCCATGAGGCCATGCAGGGGCAACTCTGTAGGCTGTCCTGAGTTCCAGGCTTGGTTGAGCCTTGCTGGATGATGATGCACTGAAAGGGCTTTTAAGCAATTGCTATAGCTTTACCTGGAGATCTTTGTTATGTAAAGTATTCTGGCCCAGGCCTTAAGTATTCTGGCCCCATTAACAAAGATGGGAGTGAGTTTCTGCTTCTGAGTTTCTTCTCTTTTTAGAGGAAATATTCTGCCTTTTTAATATTTCCTGGGATATTTCAATTTTCTAGGAGAGGGGTGGGTGCTAACTTCCTACAGGATAAAGACTTCAATTCCTGAATTAGATAGTAATGGTATAATCAAGCATTCATCAGCAAATTAAAAGGGTAGTTGGGCAAAATCTACTTTTATTGAGGAAGAAACTACCCAAGGGTATGAGTTCCAAAATAATATATATTTTTTTTCCTTGAAACTTGCTAGCAAATTTCATTTTGGACTCAAAATTGTTCATTTGGCAGCCACACAATAACTTCTTTAGTTCTAATAACCTGGCTTGTAGTAGAGGTCATGGAAATGGTTACAGCAGACCTATTTAGCTCTGTCATTTTTCTGACATCTGAAGACATCTGATACAAAACCATCTGGAAGAAAAATGTAGTACCTGGTTTCTATCAACCACTTCAGCAGAACAGAGCTGTACATATACTAATAAGACAATGTGTTATCCAAAACACTAACGTTGAGCAATTCTTTGCTGTCACATACAGAATTTCTGATGTAGGGCTGCAAGTGGTCTTTTAATATGCATGCATTTTCTGCCATCTTGTGGCTAAATAGTATAAATTTTAGGGACCACATTTCCCACTTAATTTTCATTTTAACCAAACTACACCAAGACATTATTACAGCATGCCTTTTTACATAAATGAATATTGTTCAAGATTTTAAGGTCTTATTGCACAATTCATTTCTAACTGCTTACAGAGATCAATTATAAGTATTTATTTCTGGGGAAATGATGCTTTCTCACAACCTACTATATTCTAAAAATATTATTATTCCCCATACCTATTTATATCAAAATACTTTATTAAATATTGCCTGGTCGCTTTTTCCTTTTTTAAAATCAAAAAAACGGATCATTTCAAAGTCACTCATGGAAAAGCCAATGAAGATAAAATGCCTTAGATTAAGTTGATTTTTCTTCCTTTCCTGCTATTTTACAATAACTCTATAATAGTCCTGTTAGCATATGTGTGTATCTTTTGAAGTTTTATAACTCCCGCTAAACAAGTCAATTATAGGCTTATATTAGATTGGAGGGGCAGAAATCAGATCTACAAAAGATGTATTTTAGCAAGGACCTCGCATAACTCAAAATGATTACCCTGAGAATAACACAATCTCTTTACAAGTGATACTGTTGGAATGTATATACCTTTCTGCCTCCCAGGTATATCAAAGCAGATTACAATTCAACATCAAGTTCAATACTTATAATGCCATTTCCTCCTATGAATGCAGTTTAGAATGAAATGACTCCCAAATGAAGGCTGCAATTCTATGTACATTCAGAGAAACAACATTAAAGATTAGGATTTATTGTAAAATAAATAAGTTCACTTTTTACACATATGCAATCAAGAAAAAAAGTTGTTCTTAAAGGAAAAGCATACAGCATACATGATGAGGTGATTAATGTATTTATCAAATTTGAATGTAGCCTGATTCCTGACAATTCTGGACAGCTGATTAAAATACCTATGAGGAATATCTGAATTCTAATATTTGAATCTAGCAGATGGGCAATTTTACTTCTTGATTTAATAGCATCTGTTCAAAGTTCAATTAAAAAGCATTATTAGGAACATCATAAAAATAAAAAATATGCAAAATATTAGGGTTCCATTGGTAGGAATAGGTAGGTAGGGTTCCATTGTGAAAGATCAATATTTAAAAAAAATACTATTTTAACTGAATCACACAGCAAATACTCTAAAACATTGACTACATCTCACATTTTAGAAAATAACAGAAAACAATTATAGAATTAACCATCATTGCAGTCCTTTATTTTTTAGGATATTTTCATCTGGGTTTCACAATATTTTGTCATGCAATATTGTGTTTATTTGCACATCCCATATAACTCACTGAAGCTTTATGTGGAATTTTGCAGGCTTTCATTTCTCTGATTTTTGCAATACCCACAACAGTTGTTCATTTGTCATATTGTAGCAAGATTTCATAAATTTTCACCAGCATTTCTACAGTTCATCCAAAGTTTTGACAAAGTTTTAGCTGGAATTTTGCTGACATTTTACAAGCATTTCCAACTGAAGTTTTAATACAAGACAAAATTAAAGCAAACTATCTAAGAACAAATATAATTAATTTATGGCAATTACTTACTGACTGGCTGATTCGACTATTGTCTTTTCTTCAGTACCATTGATCTCCTCATCACTGTCAGAATCTGCCCCACTCTCACCTTAAAATAACATGTCAATATGAGATGTTATATTTTGATAGCATTTTTCTGTTTTAATGTTATTCACCAATAAATATTGTTATTACTGTCAAGGAACAGGTAGTCCATCTGTTTCAGAAGCAGGTTTGAAATAAGCAATCTCTAATTACAATCAGTAAAGGAAATATCTGCATTTTATAGACAGTTGGCATTGCAAGCTCCAAAGGTATACTCTTTTTTGGAAGAGTAGCAGGTTGTTTTAAGATAAGCATTGGCTATCTAGTAGTTGCTCCATATTTACACCCAAGGAAAAAAAACACATCACATTTATGTCAGGAGCCATGGTGGTGCGGTGGTTAGAATGCAATATTGCTAGCTAATTCTACCGACTGCCAGTAGTTTGATTCTTACCAGACTCAAGGTTGACTTAGCCTTCCATCCTTCCAAGGTGGGTAAAATGAGGACCCAGATTGTTGGGTGTAATATGCTGACTCTGTAAACCCCTTAGAGAGGGCTGGAAAGCACTGTGAAGTGGTATATAAGCCTAAGCACTATCACTATTCTTCATGCACAAGAACTATATCATCTTCAACATGGAACCCTGCAGAACCGTTGCTAATAAGCATAGGCAAAGTTTTATGTTTGTGTAAGCTATCATCTGACCACTCAGAACCTACAGCTGGTCCAGAATGTGGCATCATGGAAGCTTGACATGCCATGTTAATCCACCTCTCCTTGAGCTGCATAATAATCCAATAAACCAATGATAATCCAATCCAATAAACTTCTAAGTTCAATTAAAAATCCTTCCATCTGTAAACCTCTTCATGATACAAGGCTGAGTTATATGCAAACCCTCCGTCTCTTATTAATTCTGCCTGTCCCAACATATAGCGGAATGCATGGATAATCTTGAGAAAAGGGGATAAGAGATGCTGCCTGGGAAACTATCAGACAAGAAAGATAGAAGCCCACAACTGTTGAATGGTCAAAGAAAGAAACTTAGAAAGGACCTGCCCTAACAGGTGTAGCAGTTAAAACTGGCAGGCAGCAACTCTGCATTTTTAGACTTTCAAGATTCTGTTAATGTAGCCTTACAACAAAGTAGACTCAGCTCCTCTAGTTGTGCTTCATGTATGGTTTATCTGGGAACTCCAACCCAACAAATCCAATAGAGTTGGCAGACACTAAGTCCTTTCCACCAAGCAATGCTATCTGATGGATGCAGAAAGAATGCTTTCATTGTCATGGTGCCTGCTTGCCTCCCCACCCCACCCAATAATTTGATTGGACAGCTGATCTGCCAACCTATGAATGGAGATCCTGTTGGCCTTTCAGAAAGCATTTAAAAGGTGGCTATTCCCATAAGTATTGGGCCAGGACACTGAGTGAGACAGAATCTGAGACATCTTTAGAGAATGTTTTATGGCATTGAGTGATTGTCCCTCCTTGTTTTTAAGATTTGATATTGCACTTGGTTCTAAATTTGCTGTAAACTGATCTGGTATTTTGAACTGTGCAACCATATAATTTGAATAAGCAAAAACAATCCTCATTAAGATGAACATAAAAGATACCTGCAAAGCAACTTCCCATTTTTAATTTGCAAAGTAAGAAAAAAGTAGTACATTTGTGAGCAACTCTGACTCTGAAAATATTAATCTTAAATCTTCTTATATTTAGAGAGATTCTAGCTACGTTTTCCTACACTTGCTAGAAGTGTCTTATTCTAGTTATATTATAGACAATTACTATATTTGTCTGCGGCATATACAAACACTCTTTTTGCTTAGTGTTCATTGGGGATTCACAATCTCAAAAAAGACTCTGCTGCTTTAGGAATATATAAATGTATCACACAACAAAAGCATACTATAATTAATGAACATGCTTCTTTAAATGCCCATATCTTTACATTTGAGACTACTAATTTGGGCTGAGCTATTCAATATCCAGACAATGTCTCAGTAATCGTATCTTCCTTTAGTGGGAGGAGCTGCCCTTGATGCCAACTAAGGGCACCGGCAAATCTCTATTCATACTGAAATTACAAAGTAGAATTTATGCTTTCTTCATAAGGACAGAGTAAATGGATGCTTGATGTTTATATTCTAGTCCTATCTTGCTTTCCCTACAGTAACTGACCTTCTCTATCAACACCTGCCATCACTTCACTTCTATTCAGACTTTGGCTTTATTTCATCATATATCTTCCTCAAATCCTAGCACTGGTTTCTCATTCTCTCCTGCAATACAATTTCCTTGTCTTTATCTGTAGGTCTGGCAGAAGATTGGACTGGTTTATATACTTGAGGAATGAACTGAAAGGCTATTTTCATAGACAGACAATGTTGATGAATAATTGGAAGATATAAAAAAATGGGAGTTGCTCTCCTTTCTGTAAGACACGGGAATAAGAGAGATGCTTTTTTGCATACTTTGCATGAAAAAAAAAGTCCTAGGTTTCAATCCTTCATATGATCAGTTGCCAAATCTTGAATTTGAAATTGTAGGGATAGTTACTGCATCTCAGTACAGGTAGTCCTCGACTTGCATCAGTTTGTTTAGTGACTGTTCAATGTTACAACAGCACTGAAAAGGGGACTCATGACCTTCTGATAAGCTAAGTCAATGGGGAAGCCAGATTCACTTAACAACTGTGCTGGGGGGGGGGGGGGGGGGGAGCCCTAAGTGAGACCAAAAGCTAAAGATAACCCAGCAGTAGGAGCCACTTCTTTCTCACTTTTCCTGCTGTGTTCTACTTTGCGGTTCGATCATCAGTCTCCAATTGTCTTCTGGTTCTTCCTAAATCTTTTTGTTCTTCTGCAGAAAAGGAAGCCTATATGGTCCTACTATGACTTGACAGAAACTAAAGATGTTTCTTTTTTTCAGATGATGCAAAAGTATCTAGATACTCAAGAGTTAAAATGATCCAACTTTGTAATTCTAAGCAAAGCATATTTATTTTGCATACTTAAAGCAAAGGCTACTGATTCCTTTTGGTGTGAATTACTCCATAGTCTGAAGCTCAATAAATAATCTAATGGCACCACATAAAATAGAGGGCTTTCAACTCATAATCTCTAATTCAGATATTTATATTCTGATTTTAGTAGCTGTAATTGATGTCTAGAAAGACACATAGGTTTTAATCATATATGTATAGTGCCAGACCATATATATGATCTACAAATAAATCCTGCTGAACTCAGTCAAAGTTACATCTTAGTAGACATACATGTATAATTATATATAGTATTTAGTTTTTTACTACAAAAATATTTTGAATTTTCTTAATTGAAACGAAACTGTGCCCTCATCTAGTCTTCAAAAGTTCTTACTCTCTAATTTTAGAATAATCAATCCAAATGATAGTCCAGTATATATATTTACCTTCAAGAATTTTCAGTAACTTCTTTTCAGACATAAGGTCCAATTGTTCAAGACAAAGCCTTTTAATTTCTTCTATAGAACAGTTCTAAGTAAATTAAATAAAAAAGAAATGTTTCTATACAATAATAAAAAAAAGAATTATTTTAGATAAGTCAAATTTAATCATGCTTGAAACAAACTTAAAATATTGTAATTAATTACTAATTAAATCTAAACTCACTAAATCAAGGAATTGAAAAGTTGACTTTAAATAGTAATATTAAAATTAAATAGTGTCATAAAACAATGTAAAAATAATATAAATTCAGATATGCATGATTTGGAACTTGAATATTATATTTTGAATAGAAGGAATACAATTAAAATGATAATATATAAATCGAATACATTATTAAACCATGGTAACTATTGATTAAACTGTTGACCAAAAAGTTAAACATATATTTAAGTAATTATATATTCTTTTTATCAATCTAAAATACATATATTGGATTAAATCAGAAAAGTATAAAATATAGTGAACTATACTCAATATATTAGAACTCCACTTGTTCTGATGTTTTTAAATATTTTTAAGGAGTTTTCTAAAGTGGCTATTTTAAAAAAAATATAATCAATAATTTATATTTATTGACATAAGTAATTATCATTATGTATTAAACACATGTTTACAAAAACGATCCAATAGAATTATAGGTCTGGAAAGGCCCTTGGAGGTCTTCTAGTCCAATCCCCCCGCCTTAGGCAGGAGTCCTTATTCCAACTCAGACAAATGGTTGTCCATTTTTTTCTTGAAAACCACCAACAATGGAGTAGCCACAACTCCGGAATGCAAGCTGTTCCACTGACTAATTGTTTTCACTGAAAACAAAATGATCCAGACTGCAATAGGGAGAACTACAGAGAAAACAAAGTTATGTGGAAAAATTGGCAGTTTATTTATCAGTAATAATAAAACAGAGAGAATGTGTTGGGATCTACATTTGATCCCATGTTGGGATATATTTTATATATCAACCGTTGATTAAAGAGAAAAAATGTTTTGGGGTAAGTGCAAGTGAATAATAAAAATGAGTTATGAATTATGTTCAGTAAAACTGTTTTGTGGTCAAGTTACTATTTTTTAAGTTCTAGTAATTTGCTCTTGTCTGAAATAGATTTGGAACTTGCAATCATCACTATAGGCATTTTATGAATGGACATCATAGGGCAGCCATTCTGGATAGTCAAAATTCCAATGTGTTTCTTGGCCCTCCAATATTAGAGATGTGCTTTTTTTTAATTGTCAGAACAGTCAAGGAATCAAGAAATCCCACAAAGGTCTAGCAGTTTCACTCATTGAAACCATGCCAACAATCTCAACTTTTTCCTAGTATACCCCAAGTTTGACATAAGCCTATCTCTATTGCAGGCTTCTAAACAGGTATTCCCATTGTTTTAGGGTATGCTGAAAATTTTACAATTGCAGATCTGTCCCTTTTTAAAAAAATATTTTTATTTAAAAATATTTTTGATTTTTTAAAACAATTTTACAAAAGTAATTATTGCAAAGAAAAACAGAGATTTAGGGTATCACAACTGAAGTGCCTTTCTTACCTACTGAAAGCTTCATCAATATTCTTAAGAAGCACTGAACAGTAACACCTTAATGTTGTTTCCGTTTTATTTTTAAATCCTGCTTGCTTCTGATTTCTAGTTAAGTTATTTCCAGGCAAAGATGTCAAAAATCCTTTGGGAGTAGTATGTTCTTTAATTATAAATGACTTACTTATAAACTGCCAGGTTGCCACATTCTTATCTGGTGTTATGTCCAATTAAAGAAAAATTTCAATATCCCCTTGGAAAAGCTGTAATTATATATTACATTATTCCATATGCCACAGTAATTAACATTATTTACATTTCCAGTCTGATTTATCCCAAGGACTGTACATCAGCATTTATATAACATAATTTATTAATATACATCCATATACAGATATACGTATAAACACTAGCTGCCTTTACAGCAGTCTTAATAGCTGAACTATTTAATCTATATAAACTACTACTGAACCATCTTACAATTATATAAGATGCACACCAAATAACGGTGCAGTTTAATTGGCAGGTTAATCTATTACAGCTTTCTTGATGAATCAGTGAAAACTTATTTAATAAGTGAAAAAAAACCCACTATAATTGGTAGGGTCATAAGTCTGAGATATGGATGTCTTGTTCTGAATGTTTGCGTGATATTGCAATGTGATATTGCAATAAAGAATAGATAACAGAAAACAGTCATTTCCTTTCAAAAATATATGGTAGGTAAAACCTTTTTTTATGTTTTCTAAAATGTGCAGAGTTGGGAAACAATTTGGAGGAAAATAAACTAAAGCCACACCCAACTTCAGCTGAGGAAAGGAATGACACCCACAGGCAGAGAATGCAAAAAGTTACTTTTTGATTATGAAGAATGCAAGAAGTGAAAGGTAGTCTGTCTAGGTGATAATGGAGGGTGGTTTAACATTCAAACTTTAAAAATGATTTAATTTGGCAAATCCTACATTTTATCAAATTTACCATATTTCAAAAGGGCCCCTACACTGAAGGGCTAACAAAATGGATGCACATCTAAACAGTAACTAAATAGGTATCAAATAAATATGCTTTTATTGCATTGCACATAGTTCTCATACTGCACATTTTGCTGTTCATGTTTAATATGAAATGGATATCTATGGATATTTTTTTCAGAATATCTTACAAACACAATAATTATATGATCGTATAAGTAACATTTTTGCTCTAATTATGTCATGGTTATGACTCCTTAAAAGAAGCATACACAGAATTTGATGTGGGAATTTCTTTCACTCGTCCATCACCGAAGGATGAAAAACATATCCTACAGACAAGATTACTTGCCCAGCCCAAATTTTAAGTCTAGCTTCATAGTAAAATAATACATTTCATTTCTACTATTTTGCTTTATATTTTTTAAAAAATAAGAGATGGCAGCAATGTCCTATGCACTGTGATTTCATCATTATGATAAAAAGATATAGTAAGAGTTTTAACATATTAAATTTAATATCACTGTATTTTTATTAACTTACCATATCTCATTCATATTTGTGTGCGTACACAGACACATGCACACACATACATACACACATACAATCAGTCTTCTCTTAAATGTGATAACTTATTCACGTAAAGCACTTTTTTAGAACAATTTTAAAAGCTGCATCTTTTTCTAGGCTCATGAAACTATTTCAGAAGTTATTCTTTGCATGGGTGAGCACAACCAGTACACTTTATGGATAAAAACATATTTGCTTTTTAATCGCTTTTGTAAAAAATATTTCATGTGTGTTCCAATGTATTGTGAGGCACCATTTTTTTTAAAGAATTTGCACAGCTGTAACTGATATATTTCAATACCTTTAAAACATCAGGCAACATCTTCTGCAATTTCTTCTCCCCTATGATATAAAAGCATTGCTGAAGCATTTCCTTCTTGTCCGTAATATAGAAACTGACAGGCTTCAATTGCACAGTCAGATCTAGTCCACCTTCTTCTATGTCACTGGGCTCTTCTACCACATCTTTCTTTTCTGGAACCTGAGCAATACACTTCGTTTCCTAAAATATGACACAAAAATATCCAATATATACTTGATTGACTGTGTGGTATTCTCAGCAAATAAACTATGACAAGGAACTGACAGTTCAGTCTCATGGAGTTCAGTATAGATTACTCACAAGTGAATCCATATAGAATTGCAGTTTGAATCAATGAAGCTTCTAAAATTGCTTCTTACTGTTGTATAGTCTAAACATTGTAACACTCTAAGTTATGACACTTTCAGTGACAATATTTTAATATGGTTCATTAAGCTGCTTAATTTTGCATGTCAACATTATTTGAAAGATCATAAGGCCAGCAAAGGAGTTTACAAATGAATGTTGGAAAGGAAGACTAATAGAATAAGGTTATCATTATATAAGACTAATTGGCAAAATAAAAAATCAATAATAGAAAATAATGTTTTATTATATTGGAGGGAATCGTGTGCGCATGCACGGGGGCGCGGGGGGATGTGCATTGCCTTCTGGGTGTTGGCGCGCAAGTGCGCACACATGGGCGTGCACGCAATTTTCAGCACAAGAGCCCAAAAAGGTTAGCCACCACTGGGATAGAGAGTAATAAAAATTCAGAGCTCTGTCTCAAAAAAATGAAAGACATGAAAAGTCTTGAAAGAAGAAGAAAAACTGAACCAGATATTGGAAAAAAGAACTGGAGAAAATTAGGGGGAACTATCGCATTATTTGATTATTACTTTGATTATCATAAAGTGAATAATTTTCTGCAGAGAATGCTCCATACAAAAACATAATCTAATGAATGTAAGATTAGAGAAGACTATAAAACTGGAAGACGACTAGGATAAAAAGAAGATCCAAAGATCTATTACTAGAGGTCAGAAAAAAGTCACAAATTAATAACCATACTTGCACCATAATTTAGCAAAGGACTAAAACATGTAGGACAAAGCAAGCAAGCCACTAAAGGAAAAGCCAAGGATATATATTTAACAAATATTGAAATATGGTGAGTTGACCTCAAAACAATAACAATAGCACACACAAGCAAAAATAGAGAAGGGCAGTATAAAATGTAGGAGAGAACACTGTAAGTTTTCAGGTAGAGTATCTTCAATATATCAGTACTGAGATTCATAGGATGTGATTAAGTCATTTGAAGCAATTTTATAACTTATTTTGGAATGCTATGATGCTTAAAATATGTTTTTCTCTGGTCCTTGGAATATGATTGTTGACTGTAATAATATCATTCCAAAATGTAATCCAGATTTTGCAGTTAAATTTATTAAAAAGTCACATCGTTAACATAACTGCATAAAAATATTCATTCCTTTTTTAGTGATGTACAGGTAGTTGACTTACAACAGTTTATTTAGTGACCGTTCGAAGTTATAACTGCAATTTATGCATGAAAGTGATTTATGACCATTTTTCACTTATGACTATTGCAGTATCCCCATGGTCACATGATCAAAATTCAGATGCTTGACAACTGACTCATATTTATGACGGTTGCAATGTCCCAGTCATGTGATGTGACCTTCTCACAAATAAAGTTAATGGGGGAGCCAGATTCACTTAACAACCATATTACTAACTTAATAATTGCAATGATTCATTTAATAGCAGTGGCAAGAAAAGTCATAAAATGAGGCAAAATTCACGTAAGAAATGTTTCACTTAGCAGCATAAATTTTGGCTCAATTGTGGTCATAATTCAAGGACTACCTGTAATAGCACAAATTATGCATGCTGAGACGTCATATCATGTTCAGTGGCATTCTTTCCAAGTAGAAAGGTCAAAATCATAATTCACAAGCATATAGAAAAAGCGAACAGATCATAAGACTATGTATGAATACACATGGAACAGGGATTTGCTTCCCATTAGGTCCGTAATACTTGTTTGTTTGGTTTGTTATTTATTTATTTTCTGCCCATCTCATTTAGAAGTTACTTAAAGCACTAAAAACATTAAAAACATAAAAGATAAATATTTCTAAAATGGAAAAAATGGAATTATAATCAAAGACAACGTTGTAATTAATGATGGCAAGGGAGGGTTGGAGCAGAATGCGCAGCGTGGGGAGATGAGGTTGTCTCTTAATTCATCAACCACCTCCAGTGTGGCACTCCACCGTTAGGTGGGCACAGCCAAATGATTAATTTACAAGTGTGACCACCACTCAAAAAAGAAGTGAATTGGAGTAGTACAGTAGGATATCCTGCAGACAGAGCTCTCTATTTGCCTTGCAGGATTGCTTTTACCAGATATTAGCTTCTGCCTCTGTAACCTAATATCAAATTATACTGCTGATAATACAGTAATGCAGACCCCCCCCTGCCAGTTACATCAGACAGCCACCACCTTACATTTGCAGGGAGAATGTGTTAAATGTTTTCCTCTTGTGCATTCCTTGCTCAGGTCAAAACACCAGATGCCATCATTCAGAGTTCAAAAGTTTTATTTGACGCATAAGGCAAAAACATTGGCAAAGGTTGCAAACATATTTTATAGTCAGGTGTAAAACAGCTAAGTGCATATTCCTATTTCTAAAATTTTCAAGTTTTATTTTCCTAATAGTCACCTGGATGATGGGTGGAATAGGGGTAGGATAGATGAGATTGATGGATAGATGATAAGAAAGAAAGAAAGAAAGAAAGAAAGAAAGAAAGAAAGAAAGAGAGAGAGAGAGAGAGAGAGAGAGAGAGAGAGAGAGAGAGAGAGAGAGAGAGAGAATAAATAAAATAGCCAAATTTCTCACGTTCTAATTGGCATACTGTATATCTGATGCTATGAGCCTTAATATTTGTCCTTAGTTTTTTCTAATCTATACACCTGATACTCTTGCTTCTGTGTAACAAATAAGCACTTAAATGTGCTTTTTCAAGAGGCAACTGGACTACTAAAAAGCACCTTTGGGACAAGTATGACCTGGATCACTGAGCATCTCCATCGACAAAAAAAAGCACTAATTTCCCTTCTAAGATGGCCTAGTTTAGCTTCTTCATATTTTAACTACCTTCTAAGAATATTTTGCCCTATTACGTTCCAGAGAATAAAGCAGCTTGTGTGTTAATAGCAACGGAGGCTTTTCCTAAGCACATTTTCTCATGGTTAACTAGAAGTTACCACCGTCAACCAATCTTCTGGGTTCACCCAACAGACAGTTTAGAAGCGATAATAGCATTTAATGGCATTTCTTACTCAGAAAAGGCGCTACCTGTCTTCAGATTTGCAGAAAACCAGGAGCCTGGCAGCACCTTTTCTGATATTAAAGGGTACATTGAGGCGGTTGAGCTCACTTCACAATCACTTGATTTGATTCCCACCCCGTTTTTGATTTGATTGAACTAAGGTACGAATTTTCCTTTAATGGCTTTTCCGCTCTTTTTTTTTTTCCCCCGTTCCGCGACCCCTTATTTTATGCGACGCGAGTTTTAAGAGGTTTAAAAAAAAAACGAGACAACCGTTATCCCGCCAAAACAAGGCGCGCGAAGTGAGAGGCTGAAGCCGCGCCTCCTTGTCACGTGAGTCCGCGCGATTCAGCCGCTCTCCCCTCGCAAGGCTGACGGACTGTTATTCGATACCTCCGGAAGGCCGCGGGTTGCCTCGGTGCTCCGCCGTTTCCTTTCGCTGCTGCCGCCGCCGCCGCCGGCGCCTCCTTCCTCTGGGCCGCTTAAACGGGAGCGATGTCGCTTCTTCTCTTTAGAGAATTTACGGCCCGTCATGACGCCCGCCTCCCCGAAACGGTGGCAGTTCCTTTTAAAGGCTTTTGAGAAATAAATAAATAAATAACCGCATCAAAAAGCCATCTCGCGACTGGCGGGATCAGTGATCCGCGCGTTAAGCTCAGCTGGACCCCTGTCGCAGTTTGTTTACGTCATTCTTGCGACTTCTCCATAGAGATAGACATCTTATAGAGAGAGAAAGTAGCATCTTTTATTTGGATGCACTTGGCAAAGGTTTTTTTTTTTTAAACTGAGCCTTCCCCTATGACAAGAATCCCTAAACTTGACAACTTAAAAGTTGCCAAGTTTGGAGGCCTCTGCTCTACGGTACGTTGCAGGTAGTCCTCGGCTTAAAACAGTTACAACAGTTCATTTAGTGACCGTTCGAAGTTACAAGGGCACTGAAAAAAAGCGACATGGCCATTTTTCACACTTGTGATCATTTCAGCATCCCCATGGCCATGGGATCAAAATTCAGATACTTGGCAACTGACTCATATTTATGATGGTTGCAATGTCTGGGTTCGTGTTTTGCAAACTTCTGACAAGCAAAATCAATGGGGAAGCCAGATTCCCTTAACAACTGTGTTAGTAACTTAACATCTGCAGTAATTCACTGTGGGGAAAAAAGGGTCTGCAACCCAACAAGACAGACACAGACTTCAGAGGATAATTAGGACTGCAGAAAAAACAATTACTACCAAGCTGCCTTCCATCGAGGACCTGTATACTGCACGAGTCAAAAAGAGGGCTGTGAAAATATTTACAGACCCCTCACATCCTGGACATAAACTGATTCAACTCCTTCCCTCAAAACGACACTATAGACAGGGGTAGGTTTCTACCGGTTCTGTCCACCTCTGTAAAACCGATAGCTCTGAAGAGCAGCAGACATAGAACCGGTTCTATGTCTGGTGATGTTTTTACCCATCTGCCCACCCGGGCTCTTACCTGATCTTTATTTCCTGATTTTTCAACTTCAGCTGCCACGCGAGGCATAGCTGCAGTTAAAACAGCAGGAAAAGGGGGCTGTTTCAAAGGCAGCTTTTCTGCACACAGCATGCTGATGACGATTTACAGGCGACGCACATCATAAATCACCGAACTGGTAGTTAACCTTGTCATATCCCACCCCTGGCTATAGAGCACTGAACATCAGAACAACTAGACACAAGGACATCCCAAAACGCCATCACTCTGCTAAACAAATAATTCCCTCAACACTGTCCAACTATTTACAAAGTCTGCATTACTATTACTATTAATCTTCTCATCACTCCTTATCACCCATCCCCTCCCACTTGTGACTGTATGACTGTAACTGTCACTTGTATCCTTACGATTTATATTGACTGTTTCCTGGTATGATTTGATTGCTTATTGTACCCTATGACTATTATTAAGTGTTGTACCTTATGATTCTTGTCTCTTGATGAATGTATCTTTTCTTTAATGTACACTGACAGCATTTGCACCAAGACAAATTCCTTGTGTGTCCAATCACATTTGGACAATAAAGAATTCTATTCTCTATTATCTATTAAAAGCTTGTAAAATGGAGCAAAACTCACTTTACAAATATCTCACTTAGTGACAGAAATTTTGGGCTCAATTGTGGTCGTAAGTTGAGGATTACCTTTATTATCAGTCCAAAGCTGACCTTAGAACTATTCTGGCTTCAGTTGCTCAGGCTGCTATTCAGTATTCTAATTCATCCTAAATTCCTAGGCTCATTGGTTATCATACAAATAAAAAGAATAAACGCCAGCATTTGATAATGACCAGGGATCTTTTTTAAAGATCTGAAATAAACAGGTGTACCATTTACATGAAAAGGGCAGGATAGATAGAGGGTCTAAAGAAACATGTAGGTTAATAATGACCAATAATAGGATAGCTTACAAAGATTAATAAATTCTGCTCTTCATGGAGCCATCCAAATATATAAAAGCCTGATATTCTTTAAGAATCCATGCATTTATTTAAAATGGGTATCTTCTTGTGCAGTTCAGGGCAATCAACAATCAACTGTGTCAAATTTGATTTCACTAAGTGATTTAGTGAAAACAAATACTCTTCCTTGGGGAAATTTCGAGAAAGCAGTATAAAAATAATGAAAAAAGCAAGAGATTTTGTGGGTCAGACTGAGGTTTTGGGACACAGTGAAGCCAGAAATAGATCCTTGATTGTTATAATACACTCCCCTTGGACAAAACTGATTTATGTACCTTAACAATCATGGATGATTAATGTTTCCCACTGTCTCCTAACAACTGATCTTTTAAAGTCAGTTATTAATCATGAACATAGATTATTATGACATCTGATATTTGTGTGTTCCACTGTAAAATATAAAATTTTATGAGAGTCCTCGCCTTAATTTATAATTTTGCACAATGTTGATATTGTGAAAAGTAGGGTTCTACAATTTGTATGATTTGGCAGAGCATCACAGTTGTGATCTATGAATTTCACTGGTTCCAGTCTAAACAATATTTGAATCTATGAACACCATGCTCAGATCTGTTATTTGTACCGGTTGCATTATAATGGAAAACACAAATGTAATGGTATTTCCTTTCAGTATAAACACTATGAAAATCACTCATTCTTGAGAAAAATCTTTGTAAAAATCCTTAACACTCAAAAAGACTCATGACTGCACTTTTTTATTTTTTAGCCCAGAGGTTAAGAGGTTGGGTTGTTGTCAGAAGGTTGGCAGTTTGAGACCCAGGTATCATGTGACAGGGTGAGCTCCTGTTCTTGCCCCAGCAATTCAAAAGCATTCAAATGCAAGTAGATAAATAGGTACCATTTTGGTAGGAAAGTAACTGTGTATACTCATGCCAGCCGTAGGGGCATGGAAGTGTCTTCAAACAATGCTGGCTGAAGGAACTAGGAAACGGAGATGAGCGCTCCCTAGGGTCGAACACAACTGGGTAAGGCAAACCTTTACCTTTTCAATATTGTTTAACAGAATATCCATGATTTTAACTATATAGTCCATGAGCTCAGATGTATTTTGTGACTCGATAATACATTTGGTAAGGTCCCATAAAAATCTAAAGAAAGTACATAAAAATGTAGCACAGAGCCTGCTGGCCTTTAGGAAGTCCCTGGAGACTTGGCTATGTTTTCTGCCCATATTTTAGTGGTAGGGGAATGCAGTATTCAAATATTTTTACAGGGTTGGAGGAATGTATCTGCCAAGTTTCCGGGTCTAAAACTATTTGCAGAGAATATTGGAACATTTTGAATGTGGAATTGACAGCAAGGCAATTTCATAGCAATCCAAAGCAAACATTTGTACCTTTAACTATAGATACAGAAAGGTATCTCTCTTAAAATGAAGAGAGGTGAGTGTAATGTGTTCATCTTTTATGTCTATGATTTTTAGAATCAGAGGTCCCGTCTTCATCATCATCTGGTAACTGTATAAAGTTACATCATCTGGTAACTGTATAAAGCAATAGAGAAGAACTACAACCATCTAAAACAGTAAGATATACGTCTGCTGAACCACTCATATTTTTGTTATTTCTGTAACTTTGAACAGTCTCAGCTGTGTTATGCAAATCAACACAACTGTAGATTAATATTTGATGCTAAGATATTATTTGTTACTCAAACTTAACCTATGACATTCTGATTGTTTTGCATACAGGCACCAAATCTAAGACAGAAAAGTTGAGAACACTCCTTTTATACCACACTGAGTCTAAGGAAACTTTCTGTAATTTAGGGAAGTGTATAGACTCCTAGTGATGATAAGTATGGATGATGCTTATCTAATTTGGGTAATGAAACATCTATAAGAGAACAAGTTCAGAGAGCACCAAGGACCCCCTTCACATAATTTTTCAACTACTGTCTTGTTCATTGTGATCAGAATTAGTCTATTTGGTTGTTTCAAATAGATCACATTTATATGGTAGAATGATTTGGGGGTCGTTTAAGTACAGGGAAGCAAATATAACATGGGAATTGTGGTATTCCTGCACAATTCCTATACAATTGTTGTATTCTATAATGGCTAGGGCTACTTTTTATGCTACTGTGGATAATAGTTTGACACATGTTCTCAAACCCAACATAATGGTTTGCAATCTGTTTATGTCTTAGCAGGATATATGAAAGTTTGAATATCTTATTAATCCTATTAAGATATTCAGACTTTGATTTTGAAACTTGATAGGTCTCACACAAAATTTACTTATAATTTCCATTTCAATAAGAAACCACCTCCTATAAAGAAAACTTCCCAAAATAAATTGAAAACATTCAAAACAGAAATAATTATTTGCATATTTAGCATTGCAGCTGCATTGCTAAATCCACAAGAAATGATAAGCATAGGAGCTGCATGTTTCTGATAAGGAACTAAGAAATAATGCTGACATTTAGGTATAAGGGCTTAGACTTTAGAATGAGCATTTCATCAATATGAATGAGACAGCTCATACTTTGTAGCATTATTCTTGCAAATCTGGCTGGCTGAAGATAACACTGCACTCAACAGTGGGAAGGTTATCACTAAATTCAGAGAAAGATAGAACTATATGTACTCTGAAGAAATATTCTATAGAAAGACAACCAAAAATGAAAAAGAGAACAGTACACCTGGAAATACAAAAGACCTATTTCCTGGTATGCTAGATTTTTCTGGAATGGTGGTTAAAAAGACACCTTCTGTATGTGGGAAGTCAACTTCCTGACATATCCCCACTTTCATAAGGAATCAGGACCATTATTAGTAGTGTCATACAATGTAAAAGCTCAAAGAATAAGTAAGGAACTAATATCAAAACATATTGCTGGAATCTCTTCCAATAGAAAACTTAAATGTAGTTAACTTTTCCTTCCAGCTCTCAATGGATTGTGAGAAAATTTCTGCTTGCTCAAGATAACTTTTCAGTCCTTTCTTCTTGCAGCCTTGTGGATCTAATAATCCCAGATACAAATGGATTCTAGATGGTTTTACCAAAATAGAGGCACTCAATGAAACAAGAATCCATTCTGCAAGTGATTTCTGCCTGATGAAAAGCAGCGTAAATGTGTCATACATGTCAATAAATCAAGATTTCCTTAGTAATTTTTGTTACTCCTAACCTACAGAAGCTACTAAATTTA